TTTAGTCCCTCAAAAGTGCTAGATTCGTCTTTAATTATCAAATCTGATTAGTTCATGAAGCGAGTCAGGTTTGACAGGGGTTCTTCATGATGAATATTACGGCATATTGCTAAATGTATATTTTCAGACCAATCTTCCAACCTTTCAGGTTTGTTCATTTGCCCTCAGTGTAGCTTTCAGAATTGGAACACATGTAACTTAGTCGTTTCCAATGTTGATTATCTCCCTCCCTCCCTCCCTCACTCCCTCTCCCTTCTCTTCGATATTTCTATCATTTAAAACGTAAAATCGAAATCCTAAATATTAAAGGTACAATTAAAAATCTAAACTTTTTTAATGCTCAAATCATTTACAATGAAAACAAGAGGGAATTTTTCTGTATTCTCATTGGTTATGAAAGAGGGGGTAATGCCCCCACTTGGTAGAATATCCATGAAAGAGAAATTCTAATAAGAAAATAAAACATATAATAAAGGAAGTTCCTAAATAGTAGGATATTATATGTCGCTAATGCATTGAATCTAGACACTTCAATGAAAGCAAGCAATCTTATGGTAAGTAGGGTCGAGATTAACCAAATTCAGTTTGCTCCTGAAATGGTTCAATAATTTGTCCCTCATGGTATCCAGGTCTTATTCATCATAAATGTGAGATTGAAACGAACCCGAGCACATCAACGGCAGACAATAAAGTTTTAGAGTTGAGGATAACATTATAACACCAAGAAAATAAGACTCGCAAGTCAAGTCAAGATAACGAAACTTCACGAGCAACAAAGAGTAGAAGAGGCTCTGTGAAGCAATGCCTAGAAAAGAATCTTTCCATGAAAATAAGAATTTGAATCAGTAGACAGATCCTTAACGTGAGTTTTCTGTTTCTGAAAAACATTTTAGATGGAAACAGGGTTCCCAGATGAAAACATCACGCACAATTGATATTACTTCCTTCAATTTTCATCTTCTTGTACATGGTATAAGACATTGTGATCTCTTTCCAGTGTAAAGGACCAGTTCTTATTCTTCACAGACAATAACTAATGTTCATCTGTGGTGAAATTTGTTTATCCTCTTGTACATAGTAATTTCATTACAACATGCTCTCAACAGTTCAAACATCACAAATGACCTACAGCATTCGAATTCGCAGTACTTCCTTCAGTTTTCATAATTGATCATTTCCAAGTAATTAAAAAAACGTAATGATATTAGCCCTCGTACCCATTTTGATGCTGAAAGAAAAATCCTTTTCCAAGTGTCTGAATGTTGAACAAAGGCTAAACTTGTTAAAATCTAACTTTTATTTACTGTCAGTTTCGGTTTTTTTTTGCAGAATTAATGGCACTTTAAAAGAGATCCCTGATGCCTGTTGGAGTTGCGGAAGCTAGATGGGTAATTAATTTTATTTTTTATAGGATTGAGAATGGAGGAAGTAGAAGGGAAATGAGAGGAGGCTACGAACTTGAAGTAACTTTGTATGAATTGCTTAAGGCTTGATTACAAAGTTTACATTCAAGGCCTATTAATAGGCTGATAGATAAGGAATTCTCTAGAATGCTTAGATTTTTCATAATACACATCAAGTTTCTAGAGAATTCTATATAATTCTATTTTCTACATACATTCATGCTTAATATATCCAGTTCCTAGATTATTCTAGACATTTCTAGTTTACATGCTTTTTACAAATATCCTAGAGTTTTCTAGAATTACAAATTATCTTCTAACAATACCTTGCTTAATACCCAACTTGAAGCCAAGATTAAACAAATCAACAAACTTAAACAATGGCTTTATAACATTGGAGATAATGACAGAATGTTATTGCTATCCACTGTTAAAACACTTGTTGTGTATTTAATTGGCTACGCACTTCTGGCATCATCAAGGGAGGAAAGGGGTCAATCAATGGTTTACCACAAAGAGCACAGTCTGAACCTTTAAGTTCTCTTCTAAAAGTGAGAACTGATGATTTAGTCAATGATTTGTTGTTTTCACATACAACTATGTTAAAAGTTGATACTCCATCATTTATGTATTAAACTAAGTCCATAAGAAACATAATGTGGAGATAACACATACCATTACAAACTAACTGGTTAAAAAGCGTAGGATATCAGTCATATCCCCCAACTATCCCCATCATTGTCTAAAGCAGGGGAGTATTCACACACATGGCTCTGTAAACAATCAAAATGTTGACCCATTATTGTCTCGTTGGATCTCCCCGTTCAATTATTAGACTATCCCCATCGCCTGCGAAACTCTCAGCTCCTTCCACAAGTTCCACCCATCTACCGTGTCCACACCAATTACTAATAACATGCATTAATTCCCATCCACCTAATCTATCCGAAAAAACTAGTCCACAAAAAAAAAAACTCAGCCCGACCTTCTCCTTTATAACGTCATCAATATCCTGCAACTCAACTTCAAGCTACCCGAAAATGGCTGAGGAGGAGGTGAAGATACTGGGAGCATGGCCGAGCCCATTTGTGATGAGGCCGAGGATAGCGCTGAACCTCAAGGGAGTGAAGTACGAGTTTCTGGAGGAAGTTTTGGGGGAGAAGAGCGAGTTGCTGCTGAAGTCGAACCCTGTGTATAAAAAGATACCTGTGATGATTCACAAGGGGAAGACTGTTAGTGAGTCTATGATCATTGTTGAGTACATTGATGAGGCTTGGGCTGATGGAAAGCCTGCAATTTTGCCGGCTGATCCGTATGATCGCGCTGTCGCACGCTTCTGGGCTGTGTATATTGATGATAAGGTGTGTACATCGATTTAATCTACTGTGAGGATTTTCTTTGAAAATTTTGATGGATTGATTTAATCATGTAGTTCTTTTTCAAAAAAAATTTTGGGCGTATTTTCTTATGGAACTTAGCCTTACCTTCTGCACAAAAGCTACCAATAGCATGAAATTTTTTTGGACAAAAGAACTTTCGACCAAATGGATTTCCCCCTTTTTTTTGCTGTTATTGCCAAAAAGGGAAAAAAAATGTGCTGAAGAACTTTTACCTAGGCTAGTTGGTTAGGCTTTTGCTATTCTATTGTTCTCTGAGGATATCATAAGAAATTATGTAAAATAAATCTAGCATCATGCTTTCCTTATCTTTAAAAGGAATATTTACATATGAAAAGTGCAGTGCGAACACTGTTGATTCGTGAACTGAGATCTTTTATGTTTGGAAATCATCAATAGGAGTCCCTCCGTCATTAGCATAGGTCATTTGTATAAACTTCGTGTTGGGGTTTTGACGAGGCACATTAAAAGATGAATTAGGCTGATACTTGGTCTCCATTGACTCAAAAGGATTAATTCTTATTGGGTTATTAGTCCGCCTTGGGCTGTAATTCATGTAACAGAATATTGAATCAACCAGAGCATCCAACAAAGCCCCAACTCGAACCATGAGCTCTAATAGCAATTTGTTAGTGTTTTGGCAAAGGCTCACTAGGAGATGAATTTGGCTAATTTGGTTGGACCCAATTGACTCAAATGGACTAATTCTTATTGGTTAATGAGTCTAAGCATATTTAATCATGAACAAGAGCATCCAACAAAACCGCATCGAACCATGAGCTCTAATAGCAGTTTGTTAGGATTTTGGCAAGGCTCATTAGGAGATTAGATTATGCTAATTTGATCGGACCCAATTGACTCAAACGGACTAACCCTTATTGGGTCTAAGCATATTTAACTAGCTGTCAATCTTACTCTTTATCCGATGTGGACTAAATCCCACTAAAAGCCTTTTTCCAAACCGAACTCTAAACTATAGAAATGGATGCGAGACAACTTCTTTGCACCTCCAATAAATCTTATTGTTGTGTTAGTGACGTCACTAACATGCCAACAAAAAAGTTAGTGAAATTATAAGGTTGCATGTCACTTAAATGACACGTCTAGGACTAGGGACCTCCATTGAAGACTTATTAGCATAAAACCCAAATGACATTTGAGCAATACATGAGGGACCTCCACGGAGAAAAATAATACACAAATCAGGCTGGATTAATATTTTAATTCACGTATACTTAATATAAAGCCTTCATATCCTTAATCCTTCATCACAACTTAGTTTGCTCCAAAAATATTTGATTTTTTTTTAAATCGCCTCTTATTTTCATATTTCCCACTAGATTTTCCCTTCCATGAAAGCAATACTGATGGCGCAAACAGATGAAGCCAAGACAGAAGCAGGCTCCCAAGCCAGCACATCCCTCCAACTCCTTGAAGAGGCCTTCAAAACCTGCAGCAAAGGCCAGGGTTTCTTCAGTGGTGAAACCATCGGCTCCCTTGACATCGCCCTGGGAAGCTGCTTGGGCTGGATCAGAGCCACTGAGAAGATGACAGGCGTCGACTTATTGACTGTAGAGAAGACGCCACTATTGGCTGCATGGGCCGAGCGGTTCTGTGCTGATGAGGCGGTGAAGGAGGTGATGCCGGAGACTGACAGGCTTGTGGAGGTTGCTAAGATGCTTCAGGCTAAGTGGAAGGCTTCCGCTTAGTAAAGAGATTGTTTGTGTTTAGTTTGTTGTGGTATTTGAATAAACCGACTCGTTGCTAATCGGGCGAGTTCTAAGTTTGAATGTTGTTTTTGAAGTAGAAAGCTATTTGATGGGATTTGAATCTCAAATGCTTAGATGTTATCTTAAACGTCAAAAGGTTAGTGACGTTGCTTTTATGAGGATTTGGGTGATTTAATTTGTTAGTGGAGTTTACCTTTGAATTTACCTTTTTATTAAAGACGAGAAAATATGGAAAACAAACATACTAAAAAACCCCTCTTTATTAAGAATAATCAGGATTGAAGAGGAAAAAGAGGCTGAGAAGGAACGAGTTCGGGAGATTTTATATTAGTAAAATTTGGGAGTCAGAAGTTATTAATCAATTTTGGTTGCGCCCGAGTCAGAGTTTTAGTCAATTTTGGTAGGTCAAGGTTCCTTTACGAGGAAGCAACCAAGCCCTGGAGATTGGAGAGGTTGCATATGATACCGCAATGGTCAGTGAACATTACCCCAGCGCAACAAGACTCACAGATGATCTGAGATTTTCTCGCGACTACCTGTCAGATCTCTCCATCGCTTCGCCTGTGCTTGTAAATCTTGGCACGCCATCATCACGATCGCCTCTTCTACACCTCAGGCTACGTCAATTACTCTCCTCAGGACCAATTACTCTCCTTAGGACAGGGTATACTACGCAGATTATGTTAGCACACAGGTCAATGAGAAAGCGCCCGCTACTGGCGTAGATATCAGCACTGTCCTTAGTTTCTTACCACAACACTCTAAATTAAATTTCCTAAGCTCGTGCAATGGTTTGATCCTGTGTGAAAGTTTGGGGACATACTCAAAACCTGATGACTGCCGTTATGTATGTAACCCTGCCACAAAGAGATAAGACAAGATACCCGCGCCTACTTGTTACTGGCCACTACTATTAGCCTTTGATCCCCGTATCACTCCTCATTACAAGGTCGTGACGATTTCTTTATCTAATTGGAAAATTGATTATATGGAGGTTCTGTCGTCTGAGACACGCTGAGTGGGTGTAGTACAAGGATTTTAAGGGATTTGATCATCCAGTTTTCGTGTGCTACTCTTCTTCAGTCTTCATTCATGGAAGTATCTACTTACTGGTGAAAAAAACCTTCGTAACTGGGACGCACCACTGCTTTATAGTGTCAGCATTGGATATCGAGAAGAAAGCTTTCCGAGAAATCAAGGTACCAGGTTCTGAGAAACTCAAAGAATGTTTCCGACAATGCTTTGAACAATTTGAAGATAACTTGCGCTGTGCACTGGAAAATAGATATGAAATAATTGTTTGGGATTTGATGCATTATGATACAAACCAATGGAGCTTTAAACTTAAGAGTCCGCAAGCAAATCATGTGCAAATTTGTCCTGGTTGTCTCCTAATATATATTATAGATGCAAGATCGCGTCCGCAAGCAAATCATGTGCAAATTTGTCCTGGTTGTCTCCTAATATATATTATAGATGCAAGATCGCGGCACTTCAATCAGATTCAAATGTTATTTTTATAATCAACGTCGAGAAGCTCTTTTCTTACAACTTTATAACTTCTAATACCATGGAACTGTGCACCTTGAAAGGAAATGATCCGGATGGTTTCGTGACCTACTCGCCTTGTTACTCTGGATTCCTTGATTTACAGTCATCGAGCATTGGAAGGAAATAGACAGAGGTATACAAGATACCTGCAATATGGGTTTTAGGCTTAAGTGAAATGGCTTGTCTGTTGACATTCAGAAGTCCTGGCTGTTTCTAAGTGTCATTTAGTAATAATTATGTACTAGTCTTCACCTTCTTATGAAATGGTTCTTTCTTGCAATATTTTTCTGCTGTCACCTATAATATCAAACTTAAATTAGCATAATCCTAAGTGGTTAGACCTGGCTCGTTCCAATCATAAAGTACATGGGCCTTCTAATCATACTTGTTTTTCAACCATATGCAAGTTCACCGCTTTATACTTTGTTTCTACGAGTTCCGTATGTACATGTACAACAAAAAGGAACTCGTTTTGATCGTAAAATACAGCAACCAGTTTTCTCGTATAAGAAGCCGCTCTACATCATTAATTTTGTGGAAGATAAATAGAAAAATGATATTGAGTAAAATGTAACTGCAGAGACAAGCTGAGGGGGAAAAACTGAAAATCATGAGCAAAGAGTTTATAATGGTGATGACAAGAAGCCGAACTCAAACAAATTCCAAAAGAACAACCGGTAAAAAATGTGCAACCTTCTTTCATTTGGCCTTGAGCTACTCTTCCAAATTCCAACGCTTCCGGCAGAATCACATCTGTTACCAAATCCTCAATGTCAGAAGGCATAAGGAACTCAAAAAATAGATTTTCATCATGGCAACTCAGGGGCTGAGTACGGCTATTTGCGTGTTAAAAGTAGATTTTAACTAATAAATACATATGGTACGCTGAATTAATTGAGTTCCCGTGTTAAATTGTTTGGAAGCAATCAACCAAGGATTACAATGAGCCGTGATTCATTTTACCGTCTTGGGTTGAAGAATGCAGACGTTAGCTGGTGACGAGCGAGCTCAACATACTGGCGTAGCATGCTTTGTGCGTTACTCTTGTTTGTCCTCTACATATATTGTAGGCTGTATTTTCTTTTTCTTTTGTGAGATCAAATGTACCTACGTTTACATTACATTTTATCTCTTCCTATCTGGAAATTTTGTCAATTGCTTTCTAATGAAATGCTGGGGGGTTTATGCGTCACAGTTTCTTTCTCATTGAGAAAGAAAGAAAGAAAGAAAATAACAACCTGCGATTGATTTCGCATTCCCTCTAAAGTCTGGAAAACAACACACTGTATATGTTTCACGCAATCTTGAACTGTCAACCTCCATCCTCTCCATGTTTTGAGAAATGACGTAATGTGAAAGAATTCCCTGTCGAGGGAAACGGGATCGGGCCTGCCAAAACCACAGACGTTATGAGCTCTCCTCTCAAGAAAGACTGGAAAATTTTACCTCCATGAATCCGTGAAACCAACAATCACCTCACAGATAGAAGAATTCAAAGGCAGGAGAGGAAACACATCTTCCATGATTAAGTAGACTTCTTGTTGATTAGTGAGAGTGCAATTTGAATGTTGTTTTTGAAGTATAAAAGTACGTATTTGATGGGACTTGAATCCCGAACATGTTGAAATTATTTAGTTAGAATTTGGAGTTAAAGAAGTCATTAACTCTTTGAAGAAGGCAAATCGTTCCACCCAATTTAGAGTTTGAATCAAGGTTAGAGACTAGGAATTCAACACTAGGTTGGGTCATCCAGATATGAACAGAAAAGCTTATTTAGGAATAAAATTGTAAAAGGTATAAACAAATATCAATCACACAAAAGTACTAAAATTTTTGAGAAGACAGTACACATAGATATAACGTGGTGAGATGGGTGTAGTAGGATCAAACCGTTGCCTCTCAAAAGTGCGATTTCGTTAGAGACAAGCGTGCGTCACCCAAACCTGGTTTAGTCCGTCAAAAGTGCTAGATTCGTCTTTGATTATCAAATCTGATTAGTTCATGAAGCGAGTCAGGTTTGACAGGGGTTCTTCATGATGAATATTACGGCATATTGCTAAATGTATATTTTCAGACCAATCTTCCAACCTTTCAGGTTTGTTCATTTGCCCTCAGTGTAGCTTTCAGAATTGGAACACATGTAACTTAGTTTCCAACCTTTCAGGTTTGTTCATTTGCCCTCAGTGTAGCTTTCAGAATTGGAACACATGTAACTTAGTTGTTTCCAATGTTGATTATCTCCCTCCCTCCCTCCCTCTCCCTTCTCTTCGATATTTCTATCATTTAAAACGAACAAGCACATTCCTTTTATTTCCCCTCTCTTGTCATCAATAACTCTATATTGCAATTCATAATCATAATCATAATCCTAAATCTAATATAAATTTAAAATCGAAATCCTAAATATTAAAGGTACAATTAAAAATCTAAACTTTTTTAATGCTCAAATCATTTACAATGAAAACAAGAGGGAATTTTTCTGTATTCTCATTGGTTATGAAAGAGGGGGTAATGCCCCCACTTGGTAGAATATCCATGAAAGAGAAATTCTAATAAGAAAATAAAACATATAATAAAGGAAGTTCCTAAATAGTAGGATATTATATGTCGCTAATGCATTGAATCTAGACACTTCAATGAAAGCAAGCAATCTTATGGTAAGTAGGGTCGAGATTAACCAAATTCAGTTTGCTCCTGAAATGGTTCAATAATTTGTCCCTCATGGTATCCAGGTCTTATTCATCATAAATGTGAGATTGAAACGAACCCGAGCACATCAACGGCAGACAATAAAGTTTTAGAGTTGAGGATAACATTATAACACCAAGAAAATAAGACTCGCAAGTCAAGTCAAGATAACGAAACTTCACGAGCAACAAAGAGTAGAAGAGGCTCTGTGAAGCAATGCCTAGAAAAGAATCTTTCCATGAAAATAAGAATTTGAATCAGTAGACAGATCCTTAACGTGAGTTTTCTGTTTCTGAAAAACATTTTAGATGGAAACAGGGTTCCCAGATGAAAACATCACGCACAATTGATATTACTTCCTTCAATTTTCATCTTCTTGTACATGGTATAAGACATTGTGATCTCTTTCCAGTGTAAAGGACCAGTTCTTATTCTTCACAGACAATAACTAATGTTCATCTGTGGTGAAATTTGTTTATCCTCTTGTACATAGTAATTTCATTACAACATGCTCTCAACAGTTCAAACATCACAAATGACCTACAGCATTCGAATTCGCAGTACTTCCTTCAGTTTTCATAATTGATCATTTCCAAGTAATTAAAAAAACGTAATGATATTAGCCCTCGTACCCATTTTGATGCTGAAAGAAAAATCCTTTTCCAAGTGTCTGAATGTTGAACAAAGGCTAAACTTGTTAAAATCTAACTTTTATTTACTGTCTCGGTTTTTTTTTTTTTGCAGAATTAATGGCACTTTAAAAGAGATCCCTGATGCCTGTTGGAGTTGCGGAAGCTAGATGGGTAATTAATTTTATTTTTTATAGGATTGAGAATGGAGGAAGTAGAAGGGAAATGAGAGGAGGCTACGAACTTGAAGTAACTTCGTATGAATTGCTTAAGGCTTGATTACAAAGTTTACATTCAAGGCCTATTAATAGGTTGATAGATAAGGAATTCTCTAGAATGCTTAGATTTTTCATAATACACATCAAGTTTCTAGAGAATTCTATATAATTCTATTTTCTACATACATTCATGCTTAATATATCCAGTTCCTAGATTATTCTAGACATTTCTAGTTTACATGCTTTTTACAAATATCCTAGAGTTTTCTAGAATTACAAATTATCTTCTAACAATACCTTGCTTAATACCCAACTTGAAGCCAAGATTAAACAAATCAACAAACTTTAACAATGGCTTTATAACATTGGAGATAATGACAGAATGTTATTGTTATCCACTGTTAAAACACTTGTTGTGTACTGAGCATTTAATTGGCTACGCACTTCTGGCATCATCAAGGGAGGAAAGGGGTCAATCAATGGTTTACCACAAAGAGCACAGTCTGAACCTTTAAGTTCTCTTCTAAAAGTGAGAACTGATGATTTAGTCAATGATTTGTTGTTTTCACATACAACTATGTTAAAAGTTGATACTCCATCATTTATGTATTAAACTAAGTCCATAAGAAACATAATGTGGAGATAACACATACCGTTACAAACTAACTGGTTAAAAAGCGTAGGAAATCAGTCATATCCCCCAACTATCGAGCAAGAAGCTCATCTTCGTATGACTCTGTTGATTCCTTTCAGCTTCAATCCTGGGCACCATCTTCCTCGAACAAGCATATTCGGTCCACGAGGCAATAGGTTTCGGTACATCCAATCAGGAAAATCTTGAGAGTGCTCCCCATCGAACAGTTCCCAGCAAGCCGAACATTGCTTCTCAGCATGAAACAATAGTCCCAAGTTTTGAAATGGAAGTTGTGCTAACAAAATAAACAATTAGTTTAACTGAAAATAAATGAGTTATGAAAAATCAGGCCTGAACGGGGAAGGTCCAGCCGTGATACACCTGCTGGCCCTAGAAGATAGAGGACCGCGCCCTGTCAGCCCGGCGTAGTTGACTCCCCCATAGCGGTAAAAGCCCCCCCAAACGGCCGGCCTCCTCTACCGGGCGCGAGTAGTCAGAGCTTCTGCTCAGCATGAAGATGATTGCCCAAATAATCCCAAATATGTACGCGAAAATTCTTTGAGTACTAAGAGTAGCAGAAGAGAAGAGGGAGCTATGAAATGTCTTTGTGAAATTTCTGTGTGTTTTCACGAATGACTCTGCTCCTTAATAATAGCCTCATGAGCCAGTAACCGATGCTGAATCTCCTCGTCCGTTGGGCGTAAATCACGCTGTCGTTCATAATAATGT